TTTATACAGTTTACATTCATTAAAATAAAGCTGCATCAATTAGAGTCAATGATCGACTACCGATTAAAATTAACTTGAGAATTGTTTTTATCCCGCAATTATCCTTCAAGACTCATGAAATATATCTGCTCATTTGTGAAATGATTGTTGTCTAAGATTCCCAAAAAGTTAATTCTCAATGGATAAATAAAATTTACAATGGTTGGTGTGTTTCAAATTTTGGCTGAAACTGCAGCAGTTTCGACTCAAAAATATTCTGAGTGGGTTAATGAAAAATTTTTTATTGAGACACTATCAAAATAAATTGGAAACCCTTTCTTCTTAAAATTTTCACCCAGAAATGAATCACCTATTTCAAAATAGGGTAAACGTTTTCTCATGCATTCAAAAAATTTTATCCAATCTTGGATTGGTCCATGTGAAATTTTAAAATTATATTGTTTCTAGTAGCGACATCTAGCCTCATTCAAGAAATTTTTATTTCCCATGGACTGGACAGGATCAGATCTTCAAGTTGATTACAAAAGTCTTTTCTTGCGCAGGATATTTTTGGCATTTTAAAGTATGGTTTAGAGGAAGATTCACAAAGGAAGCATGAAGTATTTACTTTTTCAAACTCAGTACAAAAGATAAATAATAATTCTGTAAGGTACTGCACACATTTAAATGTGAGACTACCAATGACATCTATACCTTCACGGAAAAAAAATTTGCCAAGAAGGGGATGGTTTCATTTGAATTTTGAATGCAGTAAAATTTGCATTGCGCCGAGAAATAATGCGAGTGTCATGTAAAAATTTTATTTTTGCTATTTATATGTATAAAAACTTTTTAGTATCTTTATGCAGCTCTTGCACAAAGTTTCCCTGCAATTTTATTTTCTGCTTCGGGATTCGTGTTAACTCAATTTCGTTTTTTTTTTCTTTCAAATTATCGCAGCTGTTCCGGATCAGACCGGAGCCGGTTCTTGTAAGTAAAAAATATGAAGGAAGAAACAAAACCGAGTTTTGAATAAATTGCATGCGTAATTTTGCCAATCGTTGACATTTTTAGAAACTCATTTTGGTTTTGATGAAAAAAGAGTGGGAATGGTTTTTTTTTTACATTAAGCGCGTGGAAAAAAAAATCAGTGACCGAGAATTTTCTTTTCTGGTTTGCATTAACAAAATCGTATTTATTTTTTTTAGTCAAATCTCAAAGGAGGTTTTTTTATTTTTTGTTTTAGGAGTGAATGGTGTGGACTTTTAGAACTGAGTTTGCGTTGAGTGGGTTTCCCCCCTTTTTTTTGGATGTTTTTTTTAACGAATTTTCTAATTTTTTGTTTTGTTTTTGTGGAGCAGATCTTTGTGAGGGCGCAGTTTGACTACGACCCTTTGCAAGATGATATCATTCCATGTGCTCAAGCGGGCATTGCTTTCAATACTGGAGATATTCTGCAGGTGAGACTTTAAAAATTTATTTATGTTTAGTGTTGACAGAAATAATTGCGTGTATGATTTTTTTTTAATATTGTAGATAATCAGCAAAGATGACCACAATTGGTGGCAGGCGAAAAAAGAGAATTGCTCCACAGCTGGACTCATTCCGTCTCCCGAACTGCAAGAATGGCGAACTGCGGCCACTGCCATGGACAAGCACAAACATGAACAAGGTTTGTGTGGGTTTTTTTCTCATTTTGTTATGAAATGAAATGTGTTTGAATATCCAAAGTTTTTCCCTGATTTTTGGAGTTAAAACTGTGCTACAACTGTGTTGAATATACATTGTAAGAGACAAGAAAATGTTGAAAGGACCATTATTTCCTATTGTTAACATAAAATCTCCTAAGAAACTTCTTAGCAGTGAGACTTGAGCAAAAGCTTACTGCAATGTCTTACAGAAAGATTGCTATTGGCCTTGCAGCTCAGGTAAATGTTTTGAGTTCTTGAATGAATGAACAGAACACTTTATTTGCCGCTTTTCAGCATTCACAATAAGGTTCATTTTATTTGCCGCTTTTCAGCATTCACACGGTTCAATCAAGATTTCCACAACCAAACTCCCTTCCCATCCAACCCAAATCCACTCAATGACATTTAATCACTTCAGAGCTGGCAACAGAGCACAAATTGATTTAAAAAAAAGAAAATACAATCCATGAAATACAACTGGACATCTGACATGTATGCACACACCCATTCATTCCCTGACATTGGAAACAAAATATATGTAAAAATTGATTTAAAGCAAAAGGTCTTCAGCTAGTTTCTGTACAAGGTTTAGTTGAATGAACAAATTGGAGAGAATCTTTGATGAGAAATCTTATAAGGCCCACAGTTTATCTTGATCCTTCAAGATTTCAGAAAGGGTCTCTTCATTGAATTCCAATACTTGTAATTCTTTCTTAAGCTTGTTTCTATCAGTATGAAATGCTGGACATAAGAAGAGAAGTTGCTCTGGTGATGCACAAACTATTGTATTTATGATGCAGGAGTTACACCACTTAGACACTTTTGAAAATTGGATGAATTTTTTTTACTAAAGTGCCATGAATTTGTCAAAATAGCTACAGTATCATATATTAAGGGGATGTTAGATGATGCAAATAGTAATAGTTTAGTATTGCCACAAGTTCTTAGACTTACAGTGTTTCCTCATTTACTTTTGTGAGTTGCAGGACTTTTGCAGAGAAGCAAATGAAAGCTAAGAACTCTCAGGATAAGTAGTGATGTATTACAATGCAGTAATATGCAAGTTGCCAGCACAATGTCTCAAACAGAAATGCTGAAAAATACTCGCTAGCACACAAGTTTGAAGTGACATGCAGTGGGACCCACCAGTTTGGACTTGTTTCAACCAAAGAAAAGAAATGAAGAATTAGAGCAGGGATGCAGACTGGGGAGCCAGCATCAACTGGTATCCCAAAGTTATTGACAACACATTATAGATTATAAGACCATATGGGAACAGTCTGAACATCGTGTGATTCAATTTGTGCTCAGTAATTGCCTTGTGCTGTGATTTTTTTCATTCTTGGAAAATAATGATGGCAAATCATTATTCATGCATTTTCATGTTCTCAGATGTGTTTTCTTTTAATATCTATATTACTAAATCTATATAATGTAGTGGGTTAGTTTTGATAAGCCAAGAGGTGTCAGATTGAAGTGTGTGGTGGGGGAGAAGATGTGGGAAAATTGTTTGAACCTTATTGTGAATGCTGAAAAGCAGAAAATAAAATNAGTGGGTTTCCCCCCTTTTTTTTGGATGTTTTTTTTAACGAATTTTCTAATTTTTTGTTTTGTTTTTGTGGAGCAGATCTTTGTGAGGGCGCAGTTTGACTACGACCCTTTGCAAGATGATATCATTCCATGTGCTCAAGCGGGCATTGCTTTCAATACTGGAGATATTCTGCAGGTGAGACTTTAAAAATTTATTTATGTTTAGTGTTGACAGAAATAATTGCGTGTATGATTTTTTTTTAATATTGTAGATAATCAGCAAAGATGACCACAATTGGTGGCAGGCGAAAAAAGAGAATTGCTCCACAGCTGGACTCATTCCGTCTCCCGAACTGCAAGAATGGCGAACTGCGGCCACTGCCATGGACAAGCACAAACATGAACAAGGTTTGTGTGGGTTTTTTTCTCATTTTGTTATGAAATGAAATGTGTTTGAATATCCAAAGTTTTTCCCTGATTTTTGGAGTTAAAACTGTGCTACAACTGTGTTGAATATACATTGTAAGAGACAAGAAAATGTTGAAAGGACCATTATTTCCTATTGTTAACATAAAATCTCCTAAGAAACTTCTTCAAGCAGCAGTGAGACTTGAGCAAAAGCTTACTGCAATAATGTCTTACAGAAAGATTGCTATTGGCCTTGCAGCTCAGGTAATGTTTTGAGTTCTTGAATGAATGAACAGAACACTTTATTTGCCGCTTTTCAGCATTCACAAGGTTCAATCAAGATTTCCACAACCAAACTCCCTTCCCATCCAACCCAAATCCACTCAATGACATTTAATCACTTCAGAGCAGGAAACAGAGCACAAATTGATTAAAAAAAATATACAATCCATGAAATACAACTGGACATCTGACATGTATGCATACACCCATTCATTCACTGACATTGGAAACAAAATATATGTAAAAATTAATTTAAAGCAAAAGGTCTTCAGCTAGTTTCTGTATGAGGTTTAGTTGAATGAACAAATTAGAGAGAATCTTTGATGAGAAATCTTATAAGGCCCACAGTTTATCTTGATCCTTCAAGATTTCAGAAAGGGTCTCTTCATTGAATTCCAATACTTTTAATTCTTTCTTAAGCTTGTTTCTATCAGTATGAAATGCTGGACAAAGAAGAGAAGTTGCTCTGGTGATGCACAAACTATTGTATTTATGATGCAGGAGTTACACCACTTGGACACTTTTGAAAATTGGATGATTTTTTTTTACTAAAGTGCCATGAATTTGTCAAAATAGCTACAGTATCATATATTAAGGGGATGTTAGATGATGCAAATAGCAATGGTTTAGTATTTCCACAAGTTCTTGGACTTACAGTGTTTCCTCTTTTACTTTTGTGAGTTGCAGCACTTTTGCAGAGAAGCAAATTAAAGCTAAGCACTCTCAGGATAAGCATTGTTATGCATTAAAATGCAGTAATGCAAGTTGCCAGCACAATGTCTCAAACAGAAATGCTACAAAATAGTTGATAGAACACAAGTTTTAAGTGACATGCAGTGGGACCCACCAGTTTGGGCTTGTTTCAACCAAAAGAAAAGAAATGAAGAATTAGAGCAGGGATGTAGACTAAGGAGCCAGCATCAACTGGTATCCCAAAGTTATTGACAACACATTATAGATTATAAGACCATATGGGAACAGTCTGAACATCTTGTCATTCAATTTGTGCTCAGTAATTGCCTTGTGCTGTGATTTTTTTCATTCTTGGAAAATAATGATGGCAAATCATTATTCGTGCATTTTCATGTTCTCAAATGTGTTTTCTTTTAATATCTATATTACTGTATCTATATAATGTAGTGGGTTAGTTTTGATAAGCCAAGAGGTGTCAGATTGAAGTGTGTGGTGGGGGAGAAGATGTGGGAAAATTGTTTGAACCTTATTGTGAATGCTGAAAAGCAGAAAATAAAATTTACAATTCAATCTATCAATAAGACCAAAAGTCAGAGAGTATGCCTCAACCATTGACTACAATATTCCTGTCTGTGTTGATTTGTTTTGAGTTCACTGTCAATAGAAAAATGGTTCTCTGATAAAATTTGCACATGTTGGAAGACTCACCTCATGGCAGACTAAGAGGAGTTTATCCTAAGCTTTTTTTTGTAATTTGGCTCAATAGCAAGTGAAGTTTAATTTGAGCGAAGCTTATTTGAGCCTGAATTTAAACAATTTAATTGTTCAGTATCCTGAATATTGTTCTGTATTTGGAAAAATTTGGCCTTTGAAAACTGGAAAATTAAGATATCACTGATTGTCAGGGTGTTTTTTTTTTTGTGAATTGTATTCTATTTTTATCTTCATAAGAGGTGCTCTGATGAGAATGTGAACATCAGGTTTTATTTGCACTGCTTTGTCTTCCAAGTTTTTGACTGCTCCTTTTTTTGCAGTGAATTGTGCTTTCTGGGGCAAGAAGCGAAAACAGATAAAAGACAAATACTTGGCCAAGCACAACGCCATCTTTGACCAGTTGGACCTGGTGACCTATGAGGAAGTGGTGAAGCTGCCAGCGTTTCAGCGCAAAACCCTGGTGCTGCTTGGTAGCGAAAACAGATAAAAGACAAATACTTGGCCAAGCACAACGCCATCTTTGACCAGTTGGACCTGGTGACCTATGAGGAAGTGGTGAAGCTGCCAGCGTTTCAGCGCAAAACCCTGGTGCTGCTTGGCGCCCATGGTGTGGGTCGCAGGCACATCAAAAACACCCTGATTGCAATGCATCCCACCAAATACGCTTATCCTATTCCTCGTGAGCATTTTTAAAAGTTTATTTCCTTTTTTATTTAATTATTCTAGTAGTGCATCTGTCAGCATTGAGTGGCAGTGGCCTGTCAACTTGGTGGCATGGCGCGAGACACAACGCCAAGATTATTTCTACTCACACCTAGGTGTCGCTCGAACAGTCCATTCTCTATATTCTATAGTGTATTGATGTTTAACTCGCTAGGAATGGTTATGGTCACAAGGCAAGGTTTTTTTGAAACGCAATGATGTTATTATGACTATTGCATGGATCATCATAATTCATCTTCATATTTTAAACAAGTTTTATGAAAGAAAAAGGGAGTTTTCCATGGAAGAAAAATGACCCATTTTCTTTGGGTAAATCTCAGCAGGATGCAATAGTTTTTCCAATAAGCAAAGCAATGGCCAATTTAGCAATTTTCAGTTAATCCGTCACTTAATTAATCCACTTATTCACTGAGCATGGAATTAAATCCTGTAAAACCTCTGTTAATCAAACTTCAAGTGACCAGCAAAAAAAAATGGAGTTCAGGAAATGCACTTTTGTTGGGGGGGAAAGAGAAAAAATTACAGTAAAATTGTAGTTGGTGATATTCTTGGCTTGTAATTGCTTTTTTCTAATGAGTTGACAGTCGGCTGAATTTTATGGCAAGGATTCATTTGTCCAGCACTTAATCAGTCACCCCCTTTCAAATCACATAAAATTACATTTTTATTGCTTTTCTCTTGCCTTTATTAAAAAAATAATTGCCAAAAATGCCCCAAGAATATTCGAATTATGGAGGCTTTAGTCCATCGAATCTAAGAGAATTCAGTCAGGGGATAGCTTGGAAATACTTTTGACTTGAGGAGATAACTGCATTCAATTTAGTTATATTCAAATTTTGAGGTTCTACAGTACACCATGATTCCTGACCATAATTGAGACAACTTTGAATTGTGCAACCTTATTCATTTTAGAGCAGAAAAATGGCCCATTTTCTGGGTGAAATCCAAGCAGGAGACAATTATTGTCAATAATAATAATAATAATAATAATAATAAGCAAAGCAATGGAATTTTTCAGTTCAATCAACCATCACCTGTGCAGAAATCCGAAATTTAATTTCCGTTGACCATGGAACTAAATACTGTATTTTACATTTGCTTTTGTTTTGATATTTTTTTGTTTTACAAATAAATTTGGTTTGGTTTTCAAATATAGATACGACGAGGTCCCCGCGAAAGGACGAAGAGAACGGGAAGCAATACTACTTTGTGTCGCATGACGAAATGATGGCGGACATTGCGGCCAACGAGTACTTGGAGTACGGGACCCACGAGGACGCCATGTATGGTACCAAGCTGGAGACCATCCGGCGGATCCACGCGGAAGGCAAAGTGGCCATTTTGGACGTGGAACCACAGGCCCTGAAGGTCCTCCGCACAGCGGAATTTGCTCCCTAACAGCACAAGTAACGACGAGGAGTTGACCGCGTACACGGACTACACTCATATTATGACATGTTGTCATGTCATGACATGACATGATACAAGACATTATGACATGACACATATAGTCTATGACTACATCAGTATACCAGTGTTCCCCAACCTTTTTTGCCCCCATACGTGGACTGGCAAATTTCCAGAAAACTTTTTGAGGATGGGCTAATGTCCTTTAAAAAAAATTTTTGCAGACTGGCAAGGGTTCATAAAATGTTTGCAGGCTAAAAAAAAAAACTTGATTTTATGGCAGGTATTTAAAAAGTGTATGTGCTTTTGCAAAAATCAAGTCAAGAACCAATGAAGCAGCTATTATTCTGAAATGTCTTGCAAAAAAATAAAAAGATGGGTTTGGAGAAAGGTTGCTCCGCATGAAAATAAGTTTCAATTTCAGCTGGTGAAAGTTTGTCTGAAGCATTTTTAGGCAAAAATCGATCTTTTATTTCTTATCAAAATTTCAGATGAAGAAAACAGACTGCATTGCTACTTTTGATGCATTTTATTATGCCAAAGAATATTTCCCACAGACTGGCAAATATGTTGTGCATACCATGGAACACAGTAGAGTATAAGTGTGCAGGTGGTACTTTGCAATTCAACTCTAATCCCTGCTAGACCAGGGTCAAATGTCAAAGCAGTTGAATTGCAAGACACTGTAAAATTGAGAAATATCAGCACAAACTGCAAAACAAAGCGGCCAAAGCAGGTCAAATTCTGAGGCAGAGGTTGAATTGCAAGTCAACCTCCCAGCAAATTCAACCCTTGAATTGTGTCTAAGTCAAATTGCGGGATGAGGTTGAATTGCAAGGTACCACTTGTATATTTCACTGCACAGATCAACTGGATCAGAGTACAGTGAGACCCCCACATGCACTTGACCTGCAGACAATTCAACATTAGGACACCTAATTTATTATGAAAAATTAATGAAAAGGGCCAAAATGAGGACACTGACTCAACATAGGGACATTTTGTGATAAAATTGCAAATACATTTNAAACTTCACTTGCTATTGAGCCAAATTACAAAAAAAAGCTTAGGATAAACTCCTCTTAGTCTGCCATGAGGTGAGTCTTCCAACATGTGCAAATTTTATCAGAGAACCATTTAGCTAATTAAAAAAAAATTACCTCCAGCAGAGATGGACTTCCTTTTCTCTTATTCACTTGAATATTATTTTTACAGAGAATGCCAACATTTCTAAGTACTGTACAGAGGTATCAGTATTCAATTCCCGAAATGCCCAGATTGTGTTGAAATAAATTGATTGGAATCAGTTTGAATTGGGAGACAATTTTTATTTTCATGAAATTATGGTGAGTATTTTGTACCGTACATAAAACACCAATTAAAATTTATATAATGGAAGTCTTAGGGAAGATGCGACTCAACTCAGGGACATTTTGACTTAGGGCAATTGCTCTTAGGACACTCTTTATGCACCAATTACGTCCGCATATTGGGGTCTCACGGTACAGTATTGTACGCACGATTTAAAAAAAAATTTCATCTTTGCAGTTTGATGGGAGTCTCGAGAGACTCATCAGAGAGTCAGAGGTTCTCCGCCAGGCCTACTGCCACTTCTTTGACCAGACCATCATCAACAATGACATTGAAGCTACCATTGCGACTCTGGAAAGGTCCCTGGACCGCATTCACTGCACCCCTCAGTGGATCCCAGTCTCCTGGGTCTACTGAGCCCGGCTCGAGTGTGCCCGCGGTGGTACCATTGGCGCCATCCTTTGCCGTGGTGCCAATAGTGGTGGTGGTGGTGGTGGTGGTGGTTCTGCCGACCGCCAACATTCGCCGCCAGCTGACTGCACTTCTTGCTGCGCGTCTGGGCGTCCCTTGCGTCCGTGATTTTCATCCTAAAGGATTATTTAAAAAGAAAGAAAAAAAATGAAGGAAAAGGGGGAGAAAAAAGAAGAAGAAGAAGAAGACAAAAAAAAAGAAGGAGAAGAAGAAGAAAAGGAAGATTATGTTCAAATGTTTATATTTATCTTCTTTTTCTTTTCTTCTTCTTCTTCTTTGTATAAAAATGGTCTTCTTCTTTTTTTTCTTTCTTTTTTTCTTTTTTTTTTTTTGGAATCCAGGGGATCGACGCGGGCACACTCGCGACAAAGATGTCGCCTCTTTCTCTCATCTCTCTCCCCCTCCCATCACCCACCTATAGAGGAAAGAAAAATACTCGCCGTTTTTATTTCATCAACACCCTGTATATCCTGTTCTCGTTGTCCTCCTCCTCCTCCTCCTCCTCCTACAAGCTGCTTTGCAATACAGCCTGTCCCACTCTGTACTAACCTACTACTACTACTACTACTACTGTTACTACGACTATACTGCTGAACGATGAGCAAGAAAAAAGAAGAAAAAAAACGAGAAAACTGCGATTTTTGCCTGCGAGAGGTTTTTTATCGCTCATTCGTTCGTCCGTTATTTCGCTAAGAATAGATGAGCTCTGTGGTTTTTTTTGTTTTTTGTTTTTTGCTCTTTGTCCGAACCCGAGCCGCGTGAAATTTTGCACAAATTGGAGACGAAAAGATTTGGGGGTGAACAATTTTTTAATTTGAAATCCGAGTGAACAAGAGGTTTCTTTTTTTTTTTAATGAGAAAGTTTGGTCGATGAAACAGTTGCTGAATTGCTGACGTTTTTTTAATTTTGTTGAGCTGAAATATTTAAAAAATGATAAATGAAAGATGAACGCAAAAAGTAAAATCCGCGATAATTTTCATTCTTGAAGACAATGCGAATTTTCGTTTGAATAAAACGTTCCGTGACTCGAAAAAGAAATCGAAGAATTGAGTTTGTTTCTTTAAAATAAACTGTTCTTTCAATATTTTCATGGAAAATGTTGCTATATTCGTTTATATAAGCGGATTCCTTTTGTGTAAAAATTTTGAGTAATTTTATCTTATTTTTGTAAATTTTTCCTTATTTCTACTGGACTGCAAAAATGCGAGCCAAAGATTTACTAGTTTGAAAAATGAGAAGTAACTGAAAGTCAGCATTTCTGCTCTCTGCAAAATTCCATCAAGGTGATGAAAATTTGTGGAAAATGTTTTCTGAATTAATTTGTAGACTTATTCACATTTTTTAATCTTGTCAATTATTATAGCAAATTAAATTTGAACGCTTCAACGTATTGCCTTCTATTTTTCTTTTTCAGTCAGAAAAGCAATAAGAAAACTGATCTCCATGCTGTGAGAAAAAATAATTCTCGCTTTGTGTTTGATTCAAAAAATTTTTAGCAGCTAAGAAATATGTGAAATTTGTCACACAAACACAGATCTCCGTATTTGGCCGGGTTCGGATGAAGCAGACAACTAAAAAAAAAAAAACATGAGTTCATCAAATCATTATTCGTTTGTTCCCCGGGCGAAAAAGCCCCTGTTTGCTCAATATTCCGTACAGAAAAAGGAAAAGAAAAATTGAAAAAAGGGATTTTATCAGTGGATAAAAGGGATTTTATCAGTATTCAAAGGCAGAGCCGCTCTTTCATGTGCCAGCACACTTGTGTTGCCCAAAGCCCAAACCAGGGGCTTCTCAAAAGTCCTGCTAGTCGCTTTCTTATTTGCAGTGCAAATGGGTGGAGCCAATTCTCAGCCCTTTTTTCATTTCTAAAAAAAATAGATTTTACCTATTGCAGATGAAATTTATGCAAAATGAGAAATGATATGAGTGACCTCTGGTGCATCAGAAATGTCTTGAAAAAACTTGGTGATGATTAAATTATTTGGGCTGGGATTTTGTGAGACTTTTAAATGCACCAGTGGTTTTCATGATGTCTTCTTCAACAGCTTGAAGCACAGTAAAGCAAGTTTTAATCTCCAAACTGAATTTCTTCTGGTGGTAGATTTTCAACCACAAATAATGTATGTGTGCAAAAAAGTGTCTCACTGTTGAAAGCAGTAAAATTTTATATAAAATTGAATATAATTTTAAAGACTTCAGAAATAATACTGTATTCCAATGTCCATGTCTTATAATTTTAAAGAAATCTTGAAATTTTGAACTTTGATTGTGTTTTCAACTTTCCTCCAAATGTTTAATGGTATCATTTATCTGTCAATTCTAGTGAAGAAATGTTCATTATGTCATATTTTCTCATATTAAAAATTACTCATTCAAGACTTTCAATCCAAAATTTTCAAGTAACTACATTGTAAAAGTTGCAAAAGCTGCAAGATGTGAGACTTTTATCAGATTTTTCATACTTTTTGTGACAGATAGGCAAATGAGAAAATCAGCAGATGCTCCATTTTTTGCAGAAATTAAATTATAATACCTCACATAGTAAAAAAAAAATTAAAAGCCATGCTTCATCCAAAAGCAGTGCAAATTGAAAAGGGATTCGCAAGACTTTTGAGGCATTTCTGGTATGGTTTTTAAAAATTGAGAAGGAAACGGATGAAGGAGGATACTCAGAAATTGGCGGAACAATTGGCGGGAAGCGTAGGGATAATGAAAAAAAAAGAGAACAAAAAGTGCGTTCCGGGTGCTTGTTTTTGCGTCCGCAAAATCGGGTTTAGGCAAAGCGTGTGTCCGCGTGCTCGCGAGATCTCCATCTGTCGCGGCTAGATGTCGCTCGCTTGCGAATCCGTGCCTGTTTCCATAGCCTATATAGAGTTCGTTGACTATATAGTGTTCCTTTTTCTGCTGTGGTAACTTCGAAAGAGAAGAGAGACGTTGAAACCTTTCTGAGTTGGTTGTTTTGGTTTCACCCAGAGATAATTTCCAAATTGAATAATTTGCTCTCTTCCTTTTCATAGAAGAAGAATCTCTGTTTGAAGCCCCGTTGTTCTGCAAACTTTGACAAGAATGCCTTGAGAAGATTCGCAATTTTCTGTGAACATTAGGAGTCTCAACAAAAATTTGCATCATTTCTGATTTCTTATATTAGGAGTTTTCCTCAGACATTGAACCTAATGTCAAAACCAGTCTTTCATAATTTGAAACTAAAACTATTTCCTGAAGATGAGCCATTTTTAATGAGAGTTGCTAAAATAATCATACATTTTATGATGAATTCATGAAGCATCAAATCTTTGAAAGGATTGAAAAGGTTCTTAAATTTATATTCTTGATCATCTTTAATTGCAGTATTCCTGTAAAAATGTACTTAAATGCTGAGAAGCTGTTGTCAAATGAAAATGTAACTTTAAAAGCATGTAGTAATCATGAATCTGAAAATCTTCTGTTCTACATCAATCACAAGACTCATAATTTGAGCAGAATATTTTTGTTTTTCAAGACTGCTAATTTTTAAAGACAGTCAGAACTTCAAAGCAAAATTTGAACTCAAAAAACCCTCCTCAGTAAGAATTCATTCTTTTGTTTTGGAGTTATGGAATCAAAAAAAATTTGTTTGCTCATTTTAGAATTGCTCAAATTTTTGCATGTTCAAGAGCTGAATTTTCCTGAAGGAAACCTTTGAATTCTGGTTCGCAACATTAATGATCTTGTGCAGAACTTCTGCAGGTTTTAAAATTAAATTTGAGATGCTTTTCCATTCTGTAAATTTTAAAAATATGAATAACATGACCACGAGGCTCATTAGCATAAAAATGATGGGTAAATTTTGGGAAAGTTGAAATTTTATTCTCATTCTTTACATTTCGATTCAGTCATGAAGAAGAACTGATGATTTTCTGGTTTCAAACATTTTTGTTATGGAATTTTGAACATTTTAAATTTTTCATTGGATTGAAAAGATGCGAAAGTTTGTGGAGACACGGAAAATTGCGAAGGAATTTTTTTTCAAGGTGTTTTCTTGCCAAGAAAAAAACAAACAAAAACCTCGCTTCCTTTAGGTTTTACCGCGCGAATATTTTGGAATACGATCATTCGTTAGGAGGGCGTTTGCTGGGTTCTGTGTCTGCGTTTTTTTGTAACATGCTGAAAATCCCCAGAGGGCATTTTTGCTAAAAGGTGCGTGAGTTTTTTTGCGTGACCGCATTGTTTTCTTTTTTTTCTCCTCCTCCACCTTCTTCCTTTTGGATTTTGCATCTACCTTTTCCTGATCTTGGCATCTTAAACTGAGGGAAAAAAAGTATTACTGAGATACGTGGAGAGAAAGATTGAGTGGGAAAGAGAATTTTGTGAGAGAGTTGAAAGACGAAAATCGAGTGTTTTGTTTGAATGTTTGTTTTTTTTTGTCTGGGCTGAAATGGCGACGCCGGAAAAGATCGAATTGAAAATCGTTGAGAGTTTCTTTCTTTGATTTTCCGTTTGTGGGAGAATGGAAAAAAAAGGAAGTTGGTATGACTACGCTCTTTCTTCCATTTATTTCCTATAATTCTCTTTTCCATAGGATTTTTGACATGAATTATCATTTCATTGTGTATGTTATTTGGCAGGTATACTGCATATGAAATTTTGAGCCACTCAAAATGTTATAAACTGTAAAATCCACAATTAAACAGTACTTTATGATCAGCTTGTGGAACATCATCCATCTTTCAGAATTTGAAAATTTATTTTTATCAATTATCCCCTTGGTATGACAATTAGTGCCAAAAATGAAAATTTCTTCCTGCTAATTTGAATGGATGTAGCTTTTAATGTTCAGGGCAGGTTTTACAAATAAATTCATTTGTCAATTGAAATGGGGATTGTTTTAAATTATTTGTAATCCCACATTATTCTCTTGCTGATGGATTCTTGAATTATTTGCAGACTGGATTACCCAAAGAACTTTAATAGTGACAAAATTTTGCCCATCTCAGTTGGATTTCCTTTGTAGAATTTATCTTCTTTAATACCTGAGTTTTCTCCCAAAGGGTTTTTTACACCCTGGAGAACCTTCATTGGAACACTGATAAGTAAACCTGAAGTTGAATCCAGCAGAGGTTGAGCTTCTGACTTACTCAAGAAATTGAGAGCAGCATCATGAATTGTTTCCTGCCAAATTTCAGCTTTTGGACCAAAGGCAACCCTCTTGGTGAACATACCTTTTGAAGGTCCCAAGATGAGTTGATAAATATTTAATTCATACCTATGCATGTCTATTAGCTTTTACAGATCAAGAACAGAAGGACATTCCTCATGCTCCAGACTGTGTACCACAAAAATGTGGAGAAGTGAAGCCAGAAGATTCCTCAGATGAGGATGAAAATGCTGCTGCTGATGATGATGAATTTGATTGTGATTATCTGGGAGAATCCATCACTGTAACTACTCCAGAGTCCAGTGATGCTTATGGTGCAAGGTGTTGACTTATTTTGTCCATGGTTGAAAAATTTAAAAATTATTTTATAATAATTGACAATAACATAATTTTATTTATATCTATAGGTTCTGGAGATTACATCACCAAGGAGAATGTTCCCCATGTTGTGTGAAACCCAGGGATGATCCTGATGTTCTTCCACCTTCTCCTGAGAACACTGAAGGAGACATTTCAGAGCAGTGCAAATGCATCATTGCAAAGTATGGAGATTTATTCATGAATTTAGCCAGTGTTTCATGAGTTCCAGTACTAGCAAGTTAAAACAGCTAGGTATCAAAATGAAAATCAGTGAAAAATTGTAAAGAGAATGAAATGCTCTGAAAAGTCCTCCCAGGATTTTTGTTACAATCAATTTATTCCTTGGCTTATAGAAAGTTTTCCCAATTTGTGCCTTTTCTTATTTTACTGGCTAAAATACAAATTTGCATTCTTCACTTAACCAAAGTAATAAAAACTATGATCACTTCAAGAAATCATTTCCATAGTGCTATAAAGTCCTCCATCTTCTGTTCTCCTATCCATACCAATGATATCCTGGCTTTCATCCAAAATTTTGTGCAAGGGACAATATTTGGAATAAAATGTATTGTACTCCCCAGACTCTAAACTCCAGAATAAAATGTGTATGCTACTCAATTTTCTAACTGAGAATTTATAAAAATGTGTTTTTATTTTCAATTTGGCAACACTCAAGGTACTTCAAAGGAAAGATAAACCCCTCAAAAGTTGCACTTGAGGCACTGAAGTCAAAACTTCAATCAGAGGTCAGCAACTTGAAGTCCTCCCTGAAAGCCAAATCATCTCAACCCACAATGAGTTCTCAAGCACCTTCTGTGAAAGCTCTTCTCCAAGCAGCTGCAAGTGGCAAAAATGTTGTGCAAAAAATGCCTGAGCCTCCATGCAATGTTTGCCCAGCTGCCCAAGCTGAGTCCTTGCAACTTGCCACTGTGACTATGCAGAACAAAATTGGCAGAGCTCAAAATAGAATCAAGGTCTTGAAGGCAATCAACAAAAACTTTTGTGGAGTGAATAACAAAGCTGGGGAGAATTTGACAGAAGGTTTAATTAGTGCAAATGCTCATGCGCTGAAAATGCGTCTGCGGCAGTTCAGGAAGGTCTTTGGAGAAATAACTGTGTTGAAATTCCAACTGGAAATGCAGCTTGCTCAGTACTTATTCTTGGTAAGTTTAATTCCTGTGTTTTTAGCACTTAATGCACATATGCATCATTTCCAAGTCCAATTTTTTCCTACTTAATTTAAATGTAAAAAAAATTACTTGATGGTCACATTTTCAGCTCATATACATGACTCATAGGGTGCATGTCTTCACAAATTATTCATTGATGTCCAGAGAAAAATAATGATTAGCAACTGGTATTCAAGAATCATAAATTTCTGATTTCAAGTTTGAAGCAGACAAAAACCCAAATCAGCACACAGTTTTAAATTTTTGGAATGCTTTAATTCTTGTGTAAAAAACAATTTGAAAGAATATTATGGTGATGAAACTGTTTAAAAATTCAAAATTGTAAGAGGATACTTTAAAATGGATTGTGATATATTTTCTAGCATTTATTTCAAATTTTATTGATATTCAAGAAAATAATGTGTCATCTATTCATGTTACTTTCCACCAGAATTCTATATGAGCATGTCAGTTAGATTTGGTCAAAAATTCTGACCAATTTATTTTCAGTTGATCGAATTTTGTAAACTAATTTTCTGATAAGACATGGGATTAGATGTTTCTGTATATTCACCTCATCCTTTTCTGTATATGAATCAATGGAATACTCTATTCCTCCAATCATATATAAGGGTGACACCTGCGATTTTTTGAAGCAGCTAATTTTAAAGGAAAGATTGAGGTGGAATATAAGCGTAGTCCGCATTTAAAAAAGTTCCTGCAACTTTTTTAGATTTCAGGCCAAGGATTTGTGCCCAATATGCGCCAAGAGTTGAACAAATTCTCCATGAATGAACCAAGTTTTTCCAAGATCATATATGCCATAATGGCTGCTGCTGCCATCTTGGACATGCCAGCAAGTGACTGTGGTGAAGAAGGCAGAGAAACTGAATCAGTGTCTGATTATGTTTGTCCAATCAAATCTGAGCCAATCAGAGAAAGATCTTGCAGAAAATCAGGTGGCAGTGGAATCTTATTGAGGAAGAAATATCACCCTCAGGTTTGTTTTAATTCTCTCATTTGTATATTCAGTATATTTACATAAAGGTTTTTTGAGTTGCAGAATTCGAAATCTTTTTCAAATTTCAACTGTACTTTCCGTCCTGCTGGTGGTGAATGTGAAGAGGAACTTTGTAAGAAACTCCAGTCATTTTTTTTTTCTTTTGAAAAGTGCCAGATTCTGAACAGGATGTTGTTTCTTATCAACAGTGACAGAGGAGGAAATCCATGCTTCAAGAAAGTTTGAGATTATCAGTGCTGCAGACGCTGCTAGAAGCATGCTTTTGTTCTCCAGGGCCAACTTATTTGAAGTTGTTGGAGATTTGAAGAAATTTGAAGACAGAGTGCAGAGCTTTTCCTCTTGGATGCTTGAATTGGTGGAACCATGATTTTTTTTTCTGTTTTAAATGTTTGTGAATGAATGAAAAATATTTTTGGAAGAAGGTGTATTGCTCATTATTTTCTTTTCTCAAACCATCCCCTCTCTTATATACAGATTTGAGAATGAAAGTCCTCTCACTTTTAGCAATTGCTGCACTGGTGCTGCCATCTTTTGTACTTGCAAGAAGACAAGCTTACACAGGTCCAGTGGTTGTACTGGATGATGAATCTATCTCTCAGGATATCATTCCTCTAAATGATTTTGGAGATGCTGGGTCATCAGCAGATTGTGTTGGTCTGGTGAGTTGCAGTTAACTTATCTGTTTGGGCCAAATATGTATATATTGTGACTGTGTTTGATGAAACTTTTGTTTTGACAGGAATGCGGATTAGATACTGCTCACAAGCCAATGGATATTTCAGAAGACATCCGGCGTTGAAAAACTACGAATTCTTAAAATTTACAATGAGCAATTTTTAATTCATGATTTTCACAAGGGAAGCAGAAAAATGCACCATTTCCCCCAAAATAATCATGAGCTGAAAATGTGTTGGATGTACAATATTTCCCTTTCTGTATACTGGACCTGGAAATAAATGTTGCCTCACTGACTTTTACTATCTCCTTGAATCTCTGCGATTTTTTATATCGAGCTATTTTATACCTTATTGCTGTAAACCTTTTGTTTGTAATTTGTGGCCTTTGGCTGCTTATGCTTTATTCTTCTGCTTGTCTTTGCCAGCTTTGGATTATGTCCTGTATATGCGGAGCTACATTCCATTAAATTATGGGAAAAGTTTGGGATTAATCTGGCTCACTCTTCCTAACTACAGTATATCCACATGTCATATACTGTTACAGGGAGTCTTCGCAACAAAATTCTCTTTACAAGAAATTGTTATGGCTCTTTGAACTTTTTTCTTGACAGAGTCCAGCACCTGTATTCTGGAAGTATTTCATTTTCAGATAGGAAATGAATAATTCATTTTCAATTACTTCATATCTCACCCCACCCCACCATATGGTTGAAGTATAATGCTGATTGAGGTACCATAAACTTCCCTACAATGGTTGTTCACCACACAACATACAGTACGGTACATGTCTTTCAGCTTGACCTCAGAAACTCAAAATAAGTGATTGGGTCAGGTCAAGTAGACCTTCAGTTTTCCAGGTACATGCTGGTGGGAGAGGATCATTAATAATAAGCCAGCTTGAATTTCACAGAGGGTTTCTTACGCAATAACGCAAATTATATTTAATACATTCCTATGAGCATTACTTTTCTCCCAGGAATGATCAGTTTGCAGAAAATGATGTATGCTTCATTCACACGTTTATCAACTACGCACTGTAAGTGTATAAGAAGAACGCAGTACAATAATTGAATGGAAATGGCAGGGACATCTAATAGTCTCCCGAGATTCCATACATTTGTTCATTTCTCCCACCTGAGTAGGACCCAGTTCAGTACGGAGTGTCATGAAACTGCACGAGGGTCCAATTCTGTACTGTACTGAATACCGTAATTCCCCGAGATCGTCGTCAGTTTCTGAAATCCCTGACCATCATCAGTTCCCGATTGTCTTCGTCAGATCTGATGCAGCTCAATCAGAGTTGGGATAAATTATTGCTGTCAACCTCAGTATTTATCAAAAATATTCCGTGAATTTTGCAAATGGATCGTCGATTATCACCGCGTTGTGTGCAGAATTTCCCATTATGTGTACGTGATGGCGGTAATGAACTCGGGCGAGAGGCCATGAGTCGTTCCACGGTCGAATGATGCAGTTTTTATGGTGTTCTGAATTCTCTAATTTCCTCCATCGGTGGATGTTTGCTAGGAATGATCAGGATGCTTCATGCGAATTTCGGTGCTCTTGTGATCCGACTTCAGTTCTTGATATTTTTTGTTGAGTGTTTGAGAAATGTTTCATGTCTTCGCAGGAATATCAACGACTGGTATTCCTAAATCAAGTCTTTTTATTTTGGGCCGGTCTTCCCTGAACAGTAGTGTAAAGCAATTACCGGAATGTCTACCTTCGGTCTTGGAATACCCGCTTCCAGTTTCCACGTGAGTTCTTGGATCTGTTTCGATGTGGAAAGCGTTTTGTTAATATTTCTAATTGAAATAGGGATGAGGGTCCGGCGCAACTGCCTGCGTTTGAGTGCCTTGTGCTTCGCGGCGTTTATCTTCTGGATCCTTTTCCGGAGCATGCCAATCCTCAAACTTGGAAGACAAGAACGATTTAGTTACGGTGAAGAATCTTGCCCACTACTTGCCACGTTTTCCATTCCTTTTCTCCAAACGTTGTTTGCGCAGCGCAACGTTTATTTCGCTGGCGACTCGAGTGCTCGTGAGTTTTATACATCACGTGATTACGCATGATTCCTGAGCGTGATTATTATGGGGAATGTAAATTTGTAGGTCTAGTCGTAAAGAAGCTAGGAACTCAGTCCGAGCTGCAGGAAGTGCAGGTGTCATTGTCCAAGCTCATTGGCGAGGATCAAGCGCTTGACGTGCTCTTGGAGAAGATATTACAAACTCAGGAACTCAGTTTGAATCAAGTGTTGAGCGCTCAGCCGCGCTCTGACGCCCCGAACGCCATCACAAGCTGTGGTAATCAAGAATTATTGACCTCTCTGGATATTCGGGGTTCCTCGGCCGTTCTCTACACTCTGGTCAACCCAGAACCAATTATTCTGACGGTGAGTGTTCATTTCAGTTCGCCTCCCTTTGTTATGAAACATTCGAATGCCTTCAAAAGGAAGAAGGCGTTCTGTGGGTGACAGGAGAAAGGCACGCGCAAAACCTAAGCACCAATACATCCGTCAACAGTTTTATAGGATTAAATTTTTTGTCTTGCGAAACTTTGCTTCCTTTTTCTGAGGTGTTTTGAGACAAAGTGTATCAGTTACGCATAAGACATGCTCTGGATACTATGAATTATATTGATTATCGTATTTTATCTAATAATAATAAGTTCTTACGCTCTTCCGATTCCAAAATGAACATTAGACCTCGGTGGTGCTCTTCTTCTGTCATCGTTCTTGTGAAGTGGGAGTGCGATTGTTCTCTTTCTTTGTCCATCGTCGTCCTAGCACTTGCTTTTCTCTTCTTGTTCGGCGCAGGGTGCTGAGTGGTTTTAAACATGACCTCAGTAAAGTGAAGTTGTAGTGTTTGTTCGTGACGCTTGGAGGGAAAATAAAAGTAGGTAATTGTGGATCTGATAAAGAAGGGTTGGGGGAAGATGGGGAATGCGGCGACGGTGAAGAAGGGGGACACGGTGGAGGACGTGAAAGTGATTTTAGAAGAAGCTAAGAAAGAGTTTGAGGAAAAGTGGCGGAAGCCGACGGGCTCAAACGCGTGCCTGGATGACTTTGAGCGAAAGAAGACCCTGGGCACGGGTTCTTTTGGCCGAGTCATGTTAGTACAGCACAAGAAGGACCGCGACAAGTTCTATGCTATGAAAATTCTGGACAAGCAGAAAGTCGTCAAGTTGAAGCAAGTTGAGCACACGTTGAATGAGAAGAGGATCCTCCAGGCCATCAACTTCCCTTTCCTTGTCAACTTGGAGTTCCATTTCAAGGTGCGTACCTTCGTAAAAATGCGGTAAAACCTATTTCAATCGATCTTCAAGGGACCAGCAAAAATACTGTATTTCCAGTCAGGGAAACGAACATTTCTCTTGCGCGGAAAGAAATAGAGCAATTGAGGGAAATTTTAATCGGTGATTATCTGGGCTTTAAATTCCTATTTTAAATGAGTTGACGCAATGCCGAACTTGAAAGCTGAGGTTTTTTCGCTCCCGGTCTTGTTTCGAAAAGTATTCAAGTCGATTTCCCTGAGATTCCTTTCCATCCTTCACTCCAGTTATTCGTCGAATTGAATTTTTCTGGCAGCTTTCCTCCAGTGCAGTGCTTGTATCCTAGATCGTTGTCTCTGTGTGAAATTACTTCTGTAATTTTTCTCCCCGGTATTATCTTAATGCGGGAGTTTTTCTCGCGGCCATTTTGTGGCTCCTGTTTCTTTCTTGAGAAATCGGATTCATAATGCGCATTGTTTTTGTTCATTTGGTGGTTTTAAAATTTTGCAGGATAACTCGTACCTCTATATGGTGTTAGAGTACGTTCCTGGAGGAGAGATGTTCTCGCATTTGCGGAAAATCGGGCGGTTTTCAGAGTCGCATTCGCGATTCTACGCGGCGCAAATCGTGCTTGCGTTCCAATATCTCCATCACCTCGACCTGGTTTACCGTGATTTGAAACCAGAGAACCTTTTGATTGACGAACGGGGTTATTTGAAAGTGACTGATTTTGGATTCGCCAAGCGGGTCAAAGGCCGGACTTGGACGCTGTGTGGAACCCCGGAATACCTGGCACCCGAGATCATCCTGTCCAAGGGCTACAACAAGGCCGTGGATTGGTGGGCACTGGGTGTGCTCGTTTATGAAATGGCTGCCGGGTATCCGCCGTTTTTCGCTGACCAGCCGATTCAGATTTATGAGAAAATCGTGTCGGGCCGTGTCAAGTTCCCGTCGCACTTCAACTCGGACCTCAAGGACCTTCTCAGAAATCTCTTGCAGGTAAGAAAAAAAATTAACCCTTCTTTTTCTGAAGTGCTGATTATAATTAGTGCAGTTCTTCAGTGGAATTTGTGATTCTTACAAGCGGTGCGAGTGAAGTGTGTGACTTATTGGAGTGAACAATCAGTTTTGTGTGTGCTACGTTGTCTTCAAAAAACCTTCGAATTGGTGACTGTGCCTTCGGATCCCTTGGTCAGTTTTCCCGTCACCTTTTTTTTATTATTCAGGATAAGTGATTTCATGTCAATTATGTTACAGTATTTCAAACAGACGCAAGAAATAAATTAATCAACTACTGTACCACGTGCTCCCTGGAATGAGAAAAAAAAATCAATTTCCTCTTTTTATTTGAGGCAATAAATATAATCCTATTTCATGACATAGAATGGTGTTCTATGCGTATTGATTTCATGCTCAAGGGCACGATTTTTGAACATCAGAATTGCGAAAGATTATGAGATGTATTTCTCGTGACTTGAAATCAGAAAATATTTTTTTTAACTCTTAGCAATTCAATGCGGTAATTTGTGATTTGTTTGCAAGTGCTGTGTAAATTCTGTTCTGTTGACTGAAGGAATGCTCACTGAAAAGTGCAAGTGTCAATTTAATGAGGGCTTTGATTCTCTTGACATCATGAAGTTTCGGAATCTGGGTGTTCGACTTGTTACAGGAAAGCGCTCCAGTTTCACAACTTGTGGGTTCGTGAGGCCCTTAAGACGATATTTCATATGTTGATGTGGCGATAGTCGAGTTTAAGAAAGAACAAAGGGGAACCCGTGGAAGGGAACTTATTTTCCTCCGAGGTGCGTGGGATGCTTAATTAGTTTCTTCTGGGTTCGTAGGTGTGGACCTGAAGGAAAATTTGTATATAATGCTGCGTGTGCGGGATATATGCGTCGTGGGAAGATTTTTTGGCGTTGATCACTTGTAAGAATCGAAGGTGCGAGACAAGGGAGGGAAACAAAAAGGAAAAAAGCCCGATGTGAGCCCACAGTGTTTCATTTGAGGAGTTATTTTGGTCAGTACGTTATCGGTGGAGTGGGTTTTGGGACAAATCGCGTTGACCTCATTCAATTCTTTTTTCTTTCTTGGGGAAGAATGAAAAAAAAACCTAACGTTTGATGGCCTATGAAAATATACTTATTATTTATCTATTTTTTATTTTCCAAGGACTATCCACGTATTTCTGGGTCCTCATTATAGTGCTCGAATGCCAGACATCTGTCGCCATAAAATTACTCATCTTGCCAAAAAATGCCCTCACGAATCTCGAAAAACCTGGCATCATACCACATTAAAACTGTTTATTTTTTTGCACAATCGATTTTAAGGCATCCGGTATTTTGCTGCACAACATATCGGAGATATTTTCAACTGTGGAAATTTGATCGAATGGAAATTTGATGCATTTTGTGAATAGATGTTCTCTTTTAGCATAATGTAAAAACATAAGTGATGGATTTGGCGTCTAATTTTTTTTAATTTTCTCGCTGCAAGAAAATCTAATTGGAGACAAATCGAAAGTTGGTTTCTGTTATTTAATGCACAAACGCAAGATCAGAGAAAATCAAAGATTTTCTATACATTTTTAATACAGTAGTTCTGATCATGCGTGAAACTTTTGCCGTATTTAAAAAGATGCTGGAAATAGTTATACTGTAATTATATACAATACATGTGGATTTTCGCTAAAGCGAAATTCAAGAGAGCAGGGAGAAAATTGAGAATCACTGTACCCCATGAATTATATAACCCTATTTAAGGGGAGAGAACCCTATGGAACCAAAAAATTGTTTTACTGCGCAGAGAAAATTTTTTTTCTCGACAAAATCGTTCTACCTGTTCAAAATAATCTTGCTTCAATAAACTTGAAGGGACTTGGGAAAAAATTTTATACTGAACAATTTGTTATGATGAGATTTTTGAAATTAATGACGAGAACAATGGTTTCAAAGTAGACCTGCATTTATTCAGGATTTTGCTTTGATATTTTAGAATTTTCAAATACAGTATTAAAGTATTTTAAAAACTCAGTGGTCTCTTGAGAAACGCTTGGCTGCTGATGTATACAATGGAATGCACTGAGCAAAGCCAAGGAAGATTCGGGCGACACCTACATAATAACAAATCATTGCAGACGCATGAAATCGAAGCGTAATGAAATATAACTTCTTATGTTATGATTGAAACTTCTCATGTCATCAGTGAGAAAGTCGACGGGATGCGTGAAAGTTTTGAAATTCCAGTTTAATTTACAGTAATTGAGATCATGTCTGAGCAATGGAGATTCCAGTGACTTCTGTTTGACAGCGAAGGAAATCGCGCAGTGAAGTGGACAAAATTCATCTCGTGACTGATGGATGAGACAGTGTCCAAGATGCATTCAAAGATATGAGATCGTGAAGTTTCGTTATCCCGCGATTGTGTTTTGTGTCTCTCCCGTTGTATCATCAGTTGCGTGGGATGATTTGAAAAATTATATACATTGTTTCAATGATTCACGAGTGCAGTCAGGCAGGAATCGTGCAACACCTACGCGATATTACGCGAACTCGCGGGAGTTGGAGACCTTATTCCGGATGTGATGTGGCCAAGTGAGACAGTGGTTAAGAAAATGTTGACGTTTTTAAAAATTATTCCTCAAAACTCTTGCATTGTTGCTGCGTGGGCCTGATCGTGATGACGAGGATGATAATGTTTTGTTTCATTTTTTTCTCCTTGTTCTTTCTCCCCCCGGATTAGGTGGACCTAACGAAGAGGTTCGGGAACCTGAGGATGGGCGTGGAGGACATAAAGAACCACAAGTGGTTCGCGCCCACGGACTGGATCGCCATCTACCAGAAGAAGGTGGAGGCGCCGTTCGTGCCCAAATGCAAGGGCCCCGGCGACGCGTCCAACTTTGACGACTACGAAGAGGAGCAGTTGTCCATCTCTTCTGCCGTCAAGTGCGCCCAGGAGTTCGCCGACTTCTGAAGAGGAAGAGTTTTTTTTTTTGCGCGCGGGAATCGGATGCAAAAATTCTCTTTCCTGTGTGTGTGAGAGTGTCTGTTTTGTTTCCTGTGTGTGCGTGTCATCCGCAAGCCAGGATTGACATTGTCTAGTCAGCGAGAAGATTTTGGCACCGCCTCCATCTCTCTCCCACCTTCTTCGCGAAAAAAAGAGAGATAAAAACTAGGGAGAAGAAGAAGAAGAAGAAAGATGATGTGGGTGAATGAGGAGGAAGAGGAGAATCGTCGTGTGTGTGGGTGGGCGTGTGCGTACTAGGAGGGCCCTCCACAAAGTTCTCGCCCCCATCCATTCAGCGTCAGCCAGCAAATTTACTCTCGTCAAAATTTTGATCTGATGTAGATTTTAGGGACCATTATTGGTAACTGAAGGATTCGTGTTTTTTTGTTTTGTTTTTTAACTTTGACTGCGATCCTACTCTCTTTCTCTCCGGAATGTGTGAGGTATATAATTATTTTTCATTTTGAGTCCCATGACGAAAGCTGAGGTTCAAGTTTTGTGTGCAATAAAAATCGTGTATTTGAGGTTAATTGCTGCGAAGAGGAAGCATTTGTTGGAGTGAAGGGACGGGAGGTTTCTTTTTTCGATGAGATGGAAAAGGGGGCGAGAAGTTTGCGAGGAAGGTCCGTTCGTAGAACGGTTTTCCGGATCTTAGTTGTGTTTTTTGGGTGTATGCGGAAGAGGAAGGAAAAATGTGTCCCTAGGTCGGGATCGTTGGATGTTTCGCATTGTCGGCTCCCGCTGTTCGTTTGTTTTTTTTTGTCCAGTGCCATTGTACACCGAGGAGAGAAGAGAGGAGTGAGCAAACGGAAGGATTTTTTCCCACACGAGCAACACAAAAAAAGGAAACACTCGGAAAGTGGTGTTGGTGCGTGAGGCGCGTGCGAGAGAAAAAAAAGAAAGAAAAAGAAGCATTTATCTGTAAATAACCATTTATGATACGAGTATTTATGGAGACGGGCGCGGGACGGAGATGGACAAAGAAGACACACTTTTTCCCTCACCTCCCCCTTTTTTTCTGATTTTTTGAAAGTTTCTTCTTCTTCTTTCGGGTCTGGATAGTTGGACTCGGGAATTCAATTGTCAACTTTTACGCGCCAGTGTTGCTTGAAAAATTTCGCCAGCACCCACCTGGCAACACTGCCGTACCCTAAGAGTACCAGACCAGTCACCTTTACTGTGTGTGGGTAGACAAAGAGAAAAAGAAGTGGAAACCGCGTTTCCGCTTTTTTGTGAAGGAGACCAGTTGAAGAACTGCGTTTAATTTTTGATGACCTGTGGCTTTTGATTGTAGGGTTGCCAGGTGTGTGCAGGGAAAATAGCTTGTTGAGGTCTGTGAACTTGAAAAAGGATTTTTGACGTATGCGTAAAAAGAAAAAAAAAATCATCCTTCATTTCCATCAACAAATTCCTTGTTGTTCTTAGCGTCTCGGAAGTTTGTTTTTTACGTTATTCTCCCAGATGAAATGCTTAATGAAACTCAGAAGAAAAAAGTCTGATGGCGGAAGGAATAAAATTTGAAGGAACCCAAAGGGGACGGGCTTGACAATGAACCGCTTGGATTCATTTCTGCACGTTGCTGAATTCTCTTTATTTTCCTGTCATCAAAATATTTCTTCTTAGTTACCACTTTTACATAGTTTTTCTGGCTTGAGTTTGTAATGAAGAAAATTTGCAGAAATTCCCGAGGACAGATGGGTGGCCTTTTCCGAGGTTCCTGGGTCCCTGTGGGTCGCTTGTTGCAGAGGAATTCATTGGGAACACCCTGGAGCAGTTGTTGGGTGAGCCATGGATCAAACGAGCAAACTGGACCTTGCAGGTATGTCAAATTTTCCTTTTTTTTCATTGTGTTGGAATTGCGAAATCTTCGTGTACGGTTTTTTTTTCGGGAATCTGCCCGAGTTTGATCAACTTTTTGGCAGAATTATTTAAGAAGTATTGAATCAAACTTGCAGAAGTGTCTTTATTTTAGGTACTAAAATACATCAATTCTGCAGGCCCTCTGCTGAAACTGGAAAAAGATCGATGATGAATGCAAGGCAAAGTACTGTATTTCTTTCCTTCAGAATTTGTCACAAACTGTGATTTTGAAACTGCATTTTATCAAATGGAAAATATTTCAATTACAGATACCTATATCCTCAAGTACCATGTAAACCTTTTTTTTACCTGTGGAAGAAATGATGTGCATGCCTTGCAGAGGTATCAATTTTTCACAGATTTTGAAAACTTTGGTGCATGACTTACTCCAATCATGGGACCAATATTTGAATATTTTTCAAATATTTAACTTCAGAACAGTTTTCATGCGCTACCATCTAGTTTCCTTTTTCTATTTATATTTGATGCAAAATTTAAATTTTGAACTACTTTTTTATTTCAATATTGAAGTTATTGATCACCAAAACTTGAGGGTATGTGGTTCTTCAGTAAATACGGTACATAGTATGACAAGTACTGGTAAAGTATTCTTGTTAAATATGCTTGGAAGAATATTGGCCAGGTGCTTTTTCAAATCAATTGGTCAGCATTTAATCAAATCAAGATTACAGTAGTAATATGTTCTTTTATTATTTGTTTCATTTGAAATGATGTACACTTTTGTAGCACCCCAAATGGTGGAATTTCACAATCGAATCTGAGACTCCACCAGTTTTTATCATTATTGTGAATGGAAAAAAAACGTATGTTATGTAAGATGACAATGTAAATTAATTGTATGTTTGTGAGATTAGTTGCTTTGCAACTTGACTTGCCGTATTCCTCCTGGCAGGAGTTGTAACAGCTTGAGTTTTCTTTGTGCTTGGGAATGTTTATTCAATCACTAATGAGACACCCCGTTTGTTTTCCCCTTGTTCACAGTTGTTCCACATCGCCGTCGCGCTGACAAATAAAAGCCAGGAATTCGCTTTGTACATCACGGACCCGGATCTGAGCAACTTTGCAGGTTTGGTAGCCTTGTACATTTTTTTTTAATTTAGAAAATTGATTAGCAATAATACGAGTCGTGATGTCGACAGATCGGAGCAGAGGAAAGTACCGTATCCGTATTTGGAATGGTCATTAAAGTGGTAGTCTTAAAAGGAAAGGTTCCGGGCTTTGTTCTTATTTTTTATTGTCATTTTTTGGAGCATGGAACTGTTTGTCGAGGGGGGTTTGAAAATTTTTCAACTTTTTTCTCAATGTTTCAAGCATGTAAGGTTTTTTCAATACCATTTTTAAGAATTTTTTCCTGAAATTAAGTGTGTGAAAAATTACTATTTGACCCTGATGATGAAAAGTGAAAATTTTACAGTTACAGCCAAAATTTCTCTCATTTCACATTGGCAAAAATATGTAAGAAAAATTTAAATCAACACCTTTTGATTGTCAACCCCTGAAAAGTTTTGCATTTTACTTGTATGAAAAGCAAGCTGATCATCCAGAAATTTTGAAATGTTCACTAGATGAAAGAAAAATAATATTCTGCACAACAGCAAAGTTTCCACTTTTAAACTCTCAAGACAAATTTTCAGCTTGCTGTGAAATGATTGGGAAAATTTGGCTGTAACTAGAAAGTTTTCATTTTCGCTTATGAGGTGTCTTGAAAATCTTGAAGAAATAGCAAATGCTAAAAATATCGATTTTCATGTTATTTTTAGCTTCAGAATTTCCATGGACGCGCGGAAGTGGGACAACCTTCGAATTTTCGAAAATTCTTCAAGGTTTAAATCTGTGATCGAATTTTTTTTGGGTTTTTTTTGTTCTGAAATCATAATATTGCATAATGACTTTAAAAAAATAGTAGGAAGTTCTGCTCAATGAAAAATAACGCGATGATGTAAAAGAGCTCGAGAGTACTGAATTTCCTTTTTGTAAATCGTGTCAATTTTGTTGCTGCTGACTCAAGGAATTTTCCAAAAATTTTGAAACGGTATATTCGGAATTTCCGTGACAGATGGGTTACAAGTTTGTCAAATTTCCGTGTTTCCGGTTATTTTTCTTAGTAAAAAAGTTATTTTATGGTATCGTTTTGGAAAATTGCATAAATTTATTTTCAATTCGCAGTTGATGCGTCTGCCAATCAAGTGATCATCGTGGATGCCGAGCACATCATTCTCGTCGACAAGAATCGTCCTAACATGAAATCCGACAGCTTTTCAATCGCGGAACATTCGGAATGCGGCCCCAATTGTTTGCAGTTTTCCGTCGACGACTTGTGCAGTCATCGAATGAGCGATCACAACATCTACGCCATTTGCAGGGTACTGCAAACAACGGATTTGCTTCGCGGTGGACCCGAAGACAGCGAATTGCAGAAAATCATCAAGGATTGTGTTTTCGGGAGGGATTCGAGTCGTTTTCGGTTTGTTGGCGAATTTCGTGGATTTATCGATCGCGTTAGGAGAAATTTATGAAGCTGGCGATTTCATTAATTTTAAGCATTTCATCGTTTTTTTTTTCTTCAAATTTTCTGTGAGTTCCTCGAGATTCGGTTCATATTGTGACGATTCAGATTTAGTGGAATTTGAATCATTGGGCCTTTAGCTGTTCCAGTGGCAATTTCATAATCCGGAAATTCGCGAAGAAACAAAAAAAAATGTCATTAACTTGTAAAATTATGGTGGCAACCACATTTTCCGCCTTTTGAATTTTTTGAAAACCTGTAACTGAAACCAGAAGCATGGTCCGTTATCCGCAGCGAGATTTACTGTTTGCCTGAATCGATTGTGCGAAAATCCGTTATCCGAGGCACTATCGTATTACCTCTGGAAAAGTTTCTGCAGTGCACTTGGAGCACCTATACAGATTAAGTTTCGCAATTGATGCTTGGTTTTCTTCCCGACGTTTGACGAATAAACTTTTGGGGATGATTTATTTGCTAAGCAAACATTTTTTTGCGTTGATGATAACATATTCTTGTTTGTTACAGAAATTCAAGGTCCTGTATGAAACTGCTCCAAAATTCAAGGCAAGTTGAATTTTCACGTGTGTGCTTCAGCTGCCATTCAATCATTTAAATGCATGTCTTGCCATTTTTCTCTCCTATTGCATAATTCAAGTTAGATACAGAATTTTCATGAGATTATTAAGGAAAATTTTTCAGCCTCTCCTTGAAGGAGTTATTCTGGATTAGATTTGAGATTAAACTGCAGGAAATCTCCAGATAATCCGAGTTCTTCAATATTGTTGAAAGTTTAATTGAGCATCAGTGTTGCCAAAGAGAAGGAATGAAGTGATGTTGATGAATGGTTAATTTACAGTAGAATGCCTTGATGATTCAACTTTTTTTCACTGTACTTCTTGAAAAACTTATCCAACCTTTCTGTACACATGCGAACGTGACTGACAATAAAGAAGTGGTGTTAGAATGCGACGAAGGCACGTGTGGAAGAAATGGGTACGTGATACCTTGGGCGTCGTTCCGGAACCCAAAATTCGGGACGTTGACGTTGTATGTGTGGATCAAGGGCTGGGTGCCAGGACCCCTCGGAGTCGGGTTGTGGATTGCGGAGCATGTGGCGGAATCCCGTGGACGAGTAAATTCGAGACTCTCATCGTGAGTGATTTCAATAAAGCATTCGAAAACCCCGAAATCTGTTTCCCGGCAAATCTGCATACATTTTTTTGCAGACTGGCAAACTTTCATAAAATTGTTGCAGACTCAAATAAGTTTTGCATGTAAGTCTCTATACAGCAGGCATTTAAAAATTTTCTGCTTTTTTTTCAAAAATTGAGTAGCTATGTGGTGCAATATGCTTGAAAAGTTGAGTTTGAAGAAAGTTTTCTCCAACTGAAAGAATTGAAATAATTTTTTCAAGCAGTGAAAATTTGTGCAATTGGGAGAAAAGCCAACTTTTATCTTTCATCAGATAATTCAAACTACGTGTCTTTCCAAATTTTCAGATAAAGATGAGAGACTTCATTGCTACTGCATGTCTTGCCATTTTTCTCTCCTATTGCATAATTCAAGTTAGATACAGAATTTTCATGAGATTATTAAGGAAAATTTTTCAGCCTCTCCTTGAAGGAGTTATTCTGGATTAGATTTGAGATTAAATTGCAGGAAGTCTCCATATAATCCGAGTTCTTCCATATTGTGAAAAGTTTAATTGAGCATCAGTGTTGCCAAGGTGAATGAATGAAGTGATGTCGATGAATGGTTAATTTACAGTCGAATGCCTTGATGATTCAACTTTTTTTTCACTGTACTTCTTGAAAAACTTATCCAAGCTTTCTGAACACTTGCGAACGTGACTGACAATAAAGAAGTGGTGTTAGAATGCGACGAAGGCACGTGTGGAAGAAATGGGTACGTGATACCTTGGGCGTCGTTCCGGAACCCAAAATTTGGGACGTTGACGTTGTTGTGTGGATCAAGGGCTGGGTGCCAGGACCCCTCGGAATCGGGTTGTGGATTGCGGAGCATGTGGCGGAATCCCGTGGACGAGTAAATTCGAGACTCTCATCGTGAGTGATTTCAATAAAGCATTCGAAAACCCCGAAATCTTTTCCCCCGGCAAATCTGCTTAAATTTTTTGCAGACTGGCAAACTTTTATAAAATTGTTGCAAACTCAAATAAGTTTTGCATGTAAGTCTCTATACAGCAGGCATTTAAAAATTTTCTGCTTTTTTTTTTTAAATTGAGTAGCTATGTGGTGCAATATGCTTGAAAAGTTGAGTTTGAAGAAAGTTTTCTCCAACTGAAAGAATTTTTTATTAAAAAAGTTCGTCACTTTTAAACACGTTAACCCTCTTTTCGGTTGAAAATAGAAAGTAGTCTATTAAGTTTGATGCACAGAAAGGTTTAAAAGTCTATTTCTACTCTCTGAAGTAACGATGTTTTGTTAATTTATGACATTTGCAGAAAGTTACCCACAGAATGGCAAAAAATTTCTGCAGAACAGCATTGGTCTGCAGACCATTGGTTGTGGAACACTTCTAAAAAATTCAAACTTCCCCAGGGAGCAACAACAAAAAACAACTTTGACTTGAAGGAGACAAGCATTTTTGATGCAGTGGGGGGGGGGGGAGAAGGAATTGCAGGAAATTTTAATTGGTGATATTGTGGGCCTTAAATTGCTTCTTAAATGAGTTGACAAGGAGGCAAGAGTTCATTTGCCTATCAGTCTTTCTTTCAAAACACATTTTTCCTTTTTTATTGCTTTTCTGTGTCAATAGAATAATTGCCAAAAGCCCTCCACAAAGTTCAAGTTATAGGGGCTTGAGGAGAAAAGCCTTCCATAGTTGGGGAGATTTCAATGCATTTTTTTCTAAGGGAATCCAGACAGGGACTTTAATATTGAATTGTCTTGACGTTTGAGTTATTGAGGTTCAAGTTCTGTGTCAAGTATTTCATAGAAAAAAATGTTGCTCTTGAACTGACTGAAGTACTGTATATACAATATTTCATTGACAGCTAAAACATTCTCTTCCCAAGTTACAGCTCTGAATGGAAATGACAATTACCTTGGAATCTGGGGGGAATTAATCCTTGGAATTAATGCCTTGTCAATTTCCAAAATTCTGAAGTACAGTGTATAAAAGTTGAGGTACAACAAAAAATCTGTGAGATAAGTGCCGCATCTTTTTGATAAAGAGCAGACATTTCCTAGGGTGACTTTTGCAAAAATGTTCTACAAAATATGTCAAACTAAACTGAATTTCTCTTAAAATTGTTTTTAATCAAAACTTGTTGGTCAGTTGAATCAGCTCAATTTAATTCTGATAACTTCTCAGACACCTCCTATAAAATGAAATTCTCTGCTGATCCCATACATATAATGGATAATCGTCAATGCTATGGGCTTCTTCTTTCTTTTCAGTAGACGACGAGGAAAAATAATGCCGACGTCGAAAAATGCCGGGGAGAAAATATTCCTCTGCTGCGTGGAATCCCCATGATGAATATCAATATACAGTATATATCCCTACTGATGAGAGATTTGGTAGCCTATTCAAAGCCTCCCCTTGCACATTGATTCTCCCACACTAGAATAGATGACAAACAATAATTTCAAACACAGGGTTTTTTATTAGTTTTTGGCAAGCAATTTTATTATTGTTTCCGCAGCAAAATATGTACGACTTCGTATTCTGATGGTCTTCAGCAACACCTGATGTCGACCGTGTTCACGGCCGTGTCATCCAGTCCGAACTAAATTTAACGAGAGAAAGAATATAATTTTGGATTATGCAAATGTCACAATAAATGACCCAGAATAGTACTGTACTTACAGCGATTCCTGTTCCTTGGTACTTTTGAATCTTGGTCCGAAGTCCACAAATGTATTTTCCCTGAGGAAATTTAGGTATTTACAGTTCCAGTTTCTTCAATGCAGACGTCATTCTCAATAATGATTGACGGGAAATATATTGTCGATAATTATCAGTAAGGTAGTTGAATTTGTGAATGCTCGTGCATTATCACCAAAGTACTGTATCTTGGAAATGAAATGTAGTGTCGAAAATCGAAAAGTAAATGAGGGTATTTTCATGTCCGTAAAACTTGAAAGCAATCTTTTCGGTCGTCGGGAGGAGAAAAAATGATTAATATAAATATCCGGGAATAAAAAATTATCGCATTTTCCATTTGAACAGCACTTGATGCATGTTTTCTCTTATTGAAATACAAAACTTACCAACTTTTTTTACTTTTGAAAATAAATCGGACATATTTAATATGATTATCTTTTAATCAGTTGGGGATTATTTTACAGTAATGACTTTGTTGTTCATCGACTTGGACAAAGAAGGAAGAGATTTCTGAGTGAGAGCGACATCTAGATATAAATATGACAAATGTTTTTTCCTCCTCCCACCGATGCTTCGAAGGAAGCTTGCTTGGGATTTTATCTTTTTTTCATCATCTGGCTAGTGTATGACATAAAAAGATTAATAAGGTCTACGGTTGGATACGTTTCAGATACTGTACTACAATTTCATGGATTTGGGCGATCGGAGTGACAGTGACATCTAGCCACAAGTTGGGCAAAAATTGTTTCCTTCTTTCTGCTGCAGCTACAGAGGAACCTTGAATGCGATTGTATTTTCATATCATCGGCTAGTTGATGTGATTTGGGCGATCGGAGTGACAGTGACATCTAGCCACAAGTTGGGCAAAAATTGTTTCCTTCTTTCTGCTGCAGCTACAGAGGAACCTTGAATGCGATTGTATTTTCATATCATCGGCTAGTTGATGAAAATGAGCAGAATAATTGGGTCGAATATTTTTCGTAATTTAATCTTGCGAGGGATGTTTAAAATTTTACATTGATGAGAGAAAGTGTACGCACATTTGGGCACATCATGGGTTCCCTCCATTTGCCCCATTTTGACCCGTTCCCGTCGACCTTTTCGCCATTGGAGCAGAAAAGGTTGATGTTGTTTGCTCCTGTGTCATCGCCACCGTTTTGCTTCCCTTCAATTTTCAACTCGATTCCGATGGCAACGGCGTCCCGATTGGACGAACATCCAAAGGCGTCCTTCCAAGTACCAAAACCTGTCATCAATCATTGAAAAATTAGTGATTTTTTGATGATAACGACTCTCGGGGACTTCATGCATTCATATTTTTGAAATGAGAGAGTAAGATAAATTTTTATATAGATGGACTCTCTGCAACGACTTTCTCTTTAGAACGAATTTTTGTGTTGGGTCCCTATTACTGGAATTCCATAACGAAAAAAATTTTTTATGGTCCCTTGAGTTTTTTTTTTTTTGTAGAATGAGTCCACCTGTAGCAAACAGTTCATTGCTCCTGTGAATGTTAAGCAGATGTCACAAGAACATAACCAAGCACATACTTTTTTCTGGCAAATGGTGATGAAGCATGCAGAACTTGAGGCAACACATGTGCTTCAAGTTCAAAAAACCACAGAATAATGTTACTTTTATCATTCAACTGTACAAAACTATGCTAAACAGAAAAATAATCCAAATTGTAATGAAATAGAATCTTGGTGTACAACAAATTATTGTTCTCAAATATTGTGTGCCCTGTCCCATATTGTCATTTTAATTCTGCTATAATGAATTTTTGTTTAGATGCAAGGATTTATAAGTTCCTGAATGCTTTCATGTACTGAAATTCTGCTGCTGTAGTTACATATACAGGCAATGCTGATGCTGGATTGAGCACAACTACAAGATTACCAGTGCATGGTCCTCTTGACATATTGAACCTGCTCTCATGAATGCATATTTTCAAAAATGTGTTTTTGAGCCTGCATGGGCTTCCTTTTGGTGATTCATGTACCCTTGAATCCCTCAGCTCCAGTTTTGCCCACTATAGGCCATAACTTGTGCATTGAGCACAAGTATGAAAACAGAAAAGTATATGAAAAGCTCCAAATAATGACCCTCAGATGGCAGAGGGTTATTTTCCATGCCACATGGAGTGGGGGTTATTTTTTATTTATTTACAGTGCAGGGCATTTTAGTTTGACTAAAGATTGCAGAAATGCTCCCAGGTTGGGAAAGCCTAAGTCAGGAAAAATGTGGCCAATTTGCTTTGGGTCTGAGGAATCTCCAATGCTAATCCTATACTGTGAATGCAGGAAAAAATGCCACCCAGTGGGGGATTTTTTTTTTCATGCAAACTTTTCTGCAGGATTGGAAAAAAATTTCAGACCTTTTCCCAACACACACTTAGGTACAAAAGATTAATTTTTTTTTCAAATTTTCAGTGCTTGTTGGCACAACATTTTGCAAGAATATCCTGACTTGGCTGCACAAGGGTTGGACATGAATTTTTGTAATAAAAACATAATAATCCTGCAATATGACACCTGCTGATTTCCAGGTGTGGCTGGGCACCCCACAGCTAGTTTGAATATAAAGCTTCCAATTTCTCTTGAAAACTATCTCCAAAGAAGCTTATTTAATGCATTAATTTAGCCTATATAATTTAACAAATAAAATTCCCAAAGTCATCTGAAGTGGAAAATGTCTGATTCAATCTATTCATCAATACAATAATGCTTCAAGATTACTTTTTGTAATGCTGGACATGATGTTCATCTGAATCACTCCACCAGAATGACCCCCAACTGAACGAAATGTGTTCGGGAGTGAGTCAGGCACCTGTAAATATTAATTATAATAATTCCCCCCACTGCACTGCTGCATCCCGAAAACTGGTCCTTTGCAGAACCCAGCACCAAAAAAGGAGTCCCGAAGGAATTGTAGGAGGATGCACAGCATCAAGTTTGATTACAACAAAATCAGCCAATCAGAGGCCAATATTTTGCCCAGAAAAAACTACTTTCCTTCTCTTTCTTCTGTCTCAAAAACCAGGGACAAAGAATTCATTCCACTGCCATTTCTTGAAATGTGAAGAGCTCTTAAAATATCTAATTTTATCATTGTGTTGCTTGAAATGATGTGTGTGCAAAGTCCAAAATTCTCTGAGTTGCACTATTTTTTGGGACATCATTAAATACTCAATTCTTTTGGGGCCTCTATAAGGAGGCTCCCAGCCAGTTGTTGGAAAAAACTTCAGCATGCCAACAATTCAGCGGCAGATTAAGTTAAAATGTTCTTCTGTTCCGCAAAAAATCTCAGAAAAATTAACAGCTTCTGCTGGAGCCTGGGAACCGAACCCGAGTTCAATTCCCAGGCCCAGCAAGGACATCTTATGAATAGAAATTTAATCCGCGTCATTAAAATACTCCTTTCCTGATTTCCAAATTTTGGATGATTTTGCCACTCGCACTTGAATTGTTGACCCTAGCAGATCTCTGTGCAGAGAAGCTTTCATCGCGCAAACTCCAAAATCTTGACCAAGTGTTCATCATCAAAAAAATACAACTCTTCAAACTAGGACTTCTGTCCCGGCCGCAGCCTGGCTGATCAATCAAGTTCTCTTATTCTAAATCAACTCTTCTCATCCTAAAAGGGATTTCAGTTCACTTCTTTGTTTCAATTGCACTTTTCCACATCAATACGTCTATTTTATTTCTCAATCAACTTTGTGAGTTTCTTTTGTCAGTTTGACATCTTTTTCTCACACCAGTCCCAGGCTGATTGCTGTGTTTTATTTGAAATTCTCATATTTTCTTTGTTGTGACTTCTTAGACTCTAACAAAATGCAGCCAGCGACACCTACTCAAAAACCGCTTGGAACCGTCGCTGATAAGAAGTGCGACACCTAACAAAGTGAAAAAAAAAAATGGAAGAGAACCCGAAACACGTTACCCGGGGCTTTCCCGTGGGCCCTGGGAACCTCGACGACCTCCGTGTTCTTGCCCCAACGCTGTCTGCACAGCAGCTCGACATCATTGAGTCCCGTGTCGTCCCCGGCACCCTGGGGGTCTTCTGTGGCCAGTCGCAACCCGACCACGGCGAACCCGGGATCGCACATGCCCCAGTTGCCAAAGTCGCCCCAAGGGGTCGGCGTCGGGCCCGGGATATCCGTGCCCAGAACCCCGCTGGCGGCGAAGACCACCACGCAAAAACAAGTGGCGATCACCGATAACAACGGCACTGATGGCGATGAACACTTTTCTGCCATTTTTTTTCTTTCTTCTTTATTCACTGCCGATTTTTTCAGCGCAACTTTTTGTTGTCCTTTTATTTCGAATGAGATATGAGGTAAATATGGAGAAGCTGAATTTGCTGTGTGTTGGAGAATATTTTTGCAAAGATGAACGCAAACGAGAATTTTTTTTTCTCCTCTGAGTGTAATTTTAAAGTGTCAGTATTTTGTCTGAAAACTTACTTTAACTAAGCAAATAAATTCCAGAGCCTACAAATTTAATTCTTCAGATTTAAAATAACTTAGAAGGATGAGAAAATCATAGTCGTGCAATATAAATAAAAACTGATAGTCCATTGAAAA